TTTGCAAGTGTCGTGATACCCGACCATGATGTGCTCAGTTCAGGAGGCTTTTCGGCAAGCGAAGGGAGATGCACGTATGACCTAATTGAGCCTACTATTTGGAATTATCTTTGTTTTAATGATGTTTAGTGTTCATTGTTCTGCTGTATCAGCAGCTTGTTCCACCAAACAACCTTGTCGCTCTGGTGGTCAAATAGATATCGATGCTCGTTCCTTCAATGGAATACGGCGATGCACTTTACATTCTTTTTTTAAGAACGAAGGCTCGCAAAGAGCCCGGCTTTGGATTAACAAAGCCATCAACCGGCCAGGATTACATCTCGACAAACCAAACACACAACTCACCAAGAAAAAGAAAAAGAAAACAAAAAAGACGGCAAGATACAACGACGCCAGGGAGCAGCTCACAGATCTAGCATACAACAAGCTAAAGAAGATTGACAATGAGCACCTAGCTTGGGGATGACAAGGCCCTCTTGCACACACGAAGTCTAGGAGTAGGAGAATGCCGGCGCAGAACTCGGCGGCGTCGCCAAAACACCAGGGCCCTAGCGAAAAACACTACCATCCAGATCCATCTTCGAAGAAGGCCCCTGCCTCCTCGCCTGGCTCGGAAGGCGCCGCACCGTCGACAGATGGACATGTTCACCCTAGAACCTGGATGGTCGGCATTGATGGAAACCATAGGAGCGGAACCAGGCAGTCCTGTCTTGTCGCCAACTTCTCACCTGGAGCAGAACATCGCCGAAATCCAGAGACCCGAGCACACAAAAGACAAGCCGCCAGGATGAGCGAAAGAGCAACAGCCAGGACCAAGATCAAAATTATAAGCTTTGGCTCTACGACTCGCTGGAGTGACACCAACGGAAGGGATCCCTATCCCCTCCTGTCCAGGAACCACGTGCACCGGACATGGGCACTACAGGAGCATGGAGAGCACCCAATCATCATGGTCCCTCACCAGGGACGGCACCGCCACCATTGGAGAAACACTGCCGCCGCCGACACCCACCACACACATCTCAGCGAAGTCCAACAACCATCCTTAGTTCCCTAAGCGGCGCCTTCAGAAAGGATACAACGCCAAGGGCGTCGCCGCCGCCCAACAAAATTGGGGTTTTCACCCGGGAAGCCAAGGGGAAGGGGACGGGGGCAATATACCTGACGGCGCCTCCAGGAAGGTGAGTGGCGCCCGCGGGCGTCACCGCCGTCGAAGCCGCCAGAGCTGGCTTGGGATTTCTCCCAGTCGAATGTACCCGTGACCGGCACCCACCCAGCATTAAACATATGGATCCAAATCAGTCCCTTATGAAATAGCGCATAAATGATACCCTACTACATCATAGTCTCTACTACTAGTATTTTTAATACCTCTGGAGCTCATGAGACTCTTTTACTAAAATTCTTAAGTCTCGATTCCCGAGCGATCGCACAAAAAACTCGAGTTCCGTTTGGATTTCCTTCTTGATCAATGGCAATCGTCGTCATATCGTATTATCATACCGTTGTCACGTTTCAGTTCTTCACATGTACGTACAATTACAGCTCGTCTTACTTTTGTCTCATCTTTCTAGAGGCATTTTGGGCACTGCTTCTTTGATTACAACAACAATAACGTCACCAATATGAGCATATCAGTGATTACCAGCTCCTTAGATTTGAATACATATCAATTCGATAGCCCCACTCCGTTGTTATCCGTTACCATGATCGCATGTCAGTTGTTTCCTTATCTTTTCGTTTGTACTATTTTGGGTTACTTATCCTTTCTTTTTCGTTTGTCCTTCCTTTTTTTTCATGTTCATTCCTTTTTTTTCTCTTTTTGCTTTTTCATTTCGCAAACATTTCTAGATTGATAAACTTTTGTCATATATTTCATGTTAAATAAATATAAAAATGTCATTAATTTCAAAACAATTGTCATCAAATTTAATTTTTGTTTATTAAATTCAACAAAATCTTAAAAAAACAAAAATAATAATTGTCATATATTTAAATATGTTCATCATTTTTTTAAATGGTAAATGAGTGCAAAAATCATTCATCCAATTCAAAATGATTTCATCAAACTCAAAAACAATTGAATTGATTTTTTTTCAAAATATTCACTTTTAGAAATTCATGAAGAAATTCTCTAGCGAACATTTCGTGAAACTCATCAATATTTTTCGGAGAATAGTGAACATTTTTTTTAGGTTAGAACATTTGCTTTTATAATTTTGCTAACATTTTTCTAATTCGAGAAGATTTTATGAAAATTTGATTCTATAAATTTATGAACATTTTACGAAATCATGACCATTTTTGGGAAAGCGCAACTTCAATTAAAGTTGCAAAAAGTGGATATCTAATTCAAAATGTCCTCATCAAATACAAATAAATGTTCATCACAATTCGAAAGATGTTCATCATATATTATGAAATGTTCATGATTTTCAAAAAGTGTTCATCAGTTCCAAAAATTGTTCATCTAATTCATAAGGTTCATTGAATTGATCTTTTTTTCATAAAATACAAAATATGTTCATAAAATATAAGAAAAATGTTCATTTTTAGAAATTTGTGAACATTTTTGTATCGGAAGATATTTGCAAAGAATGCATGAACATTTTTTGGAATCCATATACCTTTTCTAGAAATTAGTGAACATTTCTTCATTTTTCTTTTCAAGCATACAACGGGGTTTTTCAAATTTGGAACGTTTGTTTTGAATATTTGGTGAATATTTTATAAAATTCGTAAACAATTTGTTTTGCAAACTATTGGGATTTTTCGAAATTTATCAGCATTTTTGGAAAATCATGAACATTTTTTGGAAACCGAAAATTTTATTTGAAATGCAAAAACAATAAATAGGGAAAAAAGAAATATAAAAAAGGAAAACAACAGTTCAAATTTTGGGGTTAACTTTTGGACGGTCCAGCAAGGGTCATTTTTTTGCCTGAGAGCTCCCAACCGCCGTCACGTGTCACATGTTGGACGGTCCCTTTGAATTTTTTTATGTACGCATTTTTTGGGATTTAGATGAGTTTTGGAGAGGGAGGGGGGAGGCCTTTTCAGTTTTTGCCTGGTTTTCCCTAGGCTTTGGAACAGAAATTTGGTTTTTTTGGGAAGCACAACATGTGCTTCTGCAAGTAGCACTAGTTGTGCTTCCACAAGAAGTGAAACACGTGAAAGCACATATTTCCTCCTGTGAGATGCAAAGCCTGTGCTTCCACGAGAAGGAAATATTTGCTTCCCATAAAGGCATGGAGTTATGTTTCCAAGAAGCACAATCAATACTTTCATCAGAAGCACATGTTGTGAAGCAACAACATGTGCTTCTACAAGAGTTATGCTTTCGTGAGAACACATATTTCTTTCTATGAGAAGTATAGCATGTGCTTCTAAAAAAACTCAAAAACTGCAACCATGTTTCCAGGCTTCGGTTTATTTCTTCATTTTTTTATATTTGTTTTTTGTTGCTAGTTCTTTCTTTTTAATTTTTTCTTTGGATTTTTTTGGTTTTTGGTTTTTTTTTTGAAAAAAACTTTTTCAAAAACCTATGAACATGTATGTAGTTTCGGAGACGTCGTCAAATGGAAGTCGACGATGAAAATGCAAAGGTTCAAAGAGATAAAACGATGTTTTAAATAAATGAATCTAGAAAAAACTAGCGACACCAGTTCAGAATGACGCGGGGTGACAAGCGACGCACCTGTCATGCGTCCCTTGTTAGGACCTGAGAAGATGGGAAGACGTTTGTAAAGGGTAACCCTTAACTAGTGACGCCAGCCTAAAATCCCGCAAAAAAAAAGACGCCAGCCTAAAATGAGTTGCGGTGTGTGTTATTCACCGATTCCCATCGTGCGGGTCGTCAACTAGGAGGTCCCATTCAGGGACTTAAGCTTAAGGGCATCTGCGTACAGGGTGCACACCCCATGTACGCTTGGTCTGGTGCGGGCCGTTCTATCGATTTCCAGTTTTTGACGTTTTTCCTACCGTTTTCTTCTATTGGTTTTTTTCTATTTCGTATATTCTTCTTCTTTTTTGTTTCTTTTTCATTTTTGATTTTCTGTTCATTTTTCTATTTTTTCTATTTTCATTTTCTGTAAACAATTTAAAACGTGTAAACTTTTTAATATTTTTCTTTTTTCAAATGCATGAATTTTTAAGCCTGTGTAATTTCTTCAAATTTGTGAACTTATAAAAATGCATTAATCTTTAAAATTCACGAGCTTTTGGCTTGTGAAATATTTTTTGGATGTTTTTCTTTTTCAATCACATTATTGTTTTTCAAATTTCCCAAAAGAAATTCACATTCGTGAGATTTTTAACTTTGTAAACTTATTCAAATGTCATGATATTTTTTTAATTTCATAAAATTTTCTCATTCTTCATGAGAATGTTCAAATTTGTGAAATTCCCGGATTTTCGTGAGCTCTTCTTAGTTTTTATGAACATTTTCAAATCCTTGAACTTTTTCTAGTTTACTTTTACTTTTTATTTTTTGTGAAATATTTTCAACTTTACTTTCCTTTTTGATTTTATGATTTTTTTCCCCAAAATCAATAGTCAACTGGTTAGCAGGTCAACCGGTCAACTAGGGAGATCTCCCGAGCGAGGGAGCGAAACGAGCAACTGAGCCGCTCAAGCGGAACGGAACGAACGAGTCTATTGTTTTTCTTCACGTTTGCTAGGCCCGACCGGCTCCATGTTGCGGGTGAATGCCAGCAACGCTAACC